CACGAGTCGCCGGCGACAGGCGCAGCGAGTCCACAGGTCCCCTGAGTCCCAATCATTAGGCCCAGCTTCCTTTGACTCCTGGCCACAGAGTCCCGGCCACGAGCCGGCAGCTGCGCGCGTGCCCCCCGTCCGGCGCCTCACCCAGTGCGGAAACCCCCGGCAGTCCGGGTACGATCGCACGATCTCGTTGACGATGAAGTACGCCGGCAGCAGGGCCGCCTCGCGGTCGAAGATGTGCTGGATGACGCTGTAGAGTGCGTGGAACTGGTCGGCCACCGCCTCGCTGATCTCAGGCGGCAGCTGGCGGGCGCGCTCGAGGCACACCTGCGGCGGCGGACTGGGTCACGAGCGGTGAGCGGCTGGACCACGAGCGCAGCAGGGAGGGGGAGTCAGCCGCTGACGTGAGTGGATCCACAGCGGCGAGCGGGAGGGGCTCAGCGATCTGCGAGGACCCGGGTCTGGCCAGGCTGTCTAAGGTCGAAGGACAGGAACAGATCACCCTAACGGTGGCCCACTGATCTGACACGCTCGGATCGAGGATCGAATCATCCGCCTCGCAATCTGCCCCTGCCCTCGGATCGAGGACCGGATCATCCTCCCCGGCAATCTGCCCCTGCCCTCGGATCAAGGATCAGATCATCCTCCCCGCAATCTGCCCCTGACCTTGGATCGAGGATCACATCATCCTCCCCGCAATCTGCCCCTGCCCTCGAATCGAGGATCAGATCATCATCCTCGCAATCTCCCCCTGCCCTCGGATCGAGGATCAGACCATCCTCTCCGCAATCTGTCCCTGCCCTCGGATCGAGGATCAGATCATCCTCCCCGGCAATCTGTCCCTGCCCTCGGATCGAGGATCGGATCATCCTACCCACAACCTGCCCCTGCCCTCGGATCGAGGATCGGATCCTCCTCCCCGCAATCTGCTCCTGCCAGCCCCGCTGTTACAGATGTCTACGAGTCGCGTGCGGATGAAACCAAGAACAAGTGACGCCTGGCTGACATACAGGACAAAGCGAACCGGAACAGCACAACGCGGCACCTCTGAACCGCCTTAACGCACCACAGGTGACCGGAGCTCACCGGCACTGCGAAGGCCCGGGCCAACAGGCCGTATCGGCCGCCGCCTCGTGCCACGCACCTTCATGATCTCGCGGACACCCTTGTAGTCGACCTTGTAGATGACCCGGCGCAGCAGGAGGAACGTTTCGGTCCAGAGGTCCGCCGCGTCACAGACAGCTGCTCATTGGCCAGGAGGTCATCGCATAACAGCCTGGGGAATAAACGACTCGTGACCGTTGAACCGCGAGCAGGGGCCAGTGCTGTGGCAATGCATGCTTAATCTGCACATCGGAAATGGTATAAAAACTGCATCACCAGCTAGCAGATGTGGGCAAGTTTGAGCGATATGGTGAAAATAACATGGTACTGAAATCTGGCGGCACATCACAGTTCCATCACAAAAACATGTTACTTGATGCATTTTTGTGTACGTCACTGGGTCACTAAAAATTGTTATTTACCATCACGACGCCCTACGACAATTATTTGTTGTTCGTCCCAAGGAGGAAAGACTGCATCTTCAACAACGACGCCGGTGATGGCTCAGGACAACACGGGTCTCATCCTGCTGGGGCGGCAGCGCAGGCCACACGCCTCCCGAGATCGTTTGAGATCGATCGAGATCGTTCCTCGGGGAGGCGAGCGAGTCTCAAACACAGCGTCGACGTTCAACCGGCTGACGCTCACGCTGGCACCTGCTTGCCAGACTGCACGCCTTCGCCTGATAGCGCTGATATCTGTTTGCCAGACTGCACACCTTCGCCTGCTAACGCTGGCATCTGTTCGCCAGACTGCACGCCTTCGCCTGCTAACGCTGGCATCTGTTTGCCAGACTGCACGCCTTCGCCTGCTAACGCCGGCATCTGTTTGTCAGACTGCACGCCTTCGCCTGATGACTTAAAATGCCAGCCAGGCCCGCGTTATTCCTCCCCAGGCGTTGTGGACGCGAGAGCGGCGTGAGGACCCGAGCGGGGTCCATCACCGATGTGGCCGCAGCAGCAGCGGTCGACGGGGCACACCCGACAGGACGTTGTGGACGCGGAGAGCGGCGTTGAGGACCGGAGCGGGGCCTCATCACCGATGTAGCCGCAGCAGCAGCGGTCGAAGGGCACACCAGACAGGACGCCGCACTTACTTGGCCGGCAGGACACCAGACAGAACGCAGCGCTCCAGCACGGCCAGCAGCTTCCGCATCCGCTTGTCCGACTGTTCGGACACTTGACCTGCGGCGGATGGCAAACGAGCTCACATGGTGACGAAAGACCACAGAACCACAGGTGTCACCCAGTCACCACGTCAGTCAGGTGATGCTTATTTGGGTCGTGCTTACAGCACATGGCACAGTTCATTGCACATGTTCTTTTGGCATTGCCCTTAATGAAATGATATGGCATGGGATTATTCTCAACACTGACCACCATCCATAATGTCACTGTGCTGAAAAGCCACTGGTGGTGTGCTTACAAATAAACAATGATGGGATTCCTCAGTGAATGGTGTTGGGATGTGACACATGGTGCACACTCTGGGGCATGCTGTGGTGATGTGGAACACACCAGGGTCACTACCAACTGGCTGGGTATTTCAGAATAATTATGAGCTTATGAGCTATTTTGAATTAAGGTGAATATGAGATAGCTATATATATATATATATATATATATATATATATATATATATATATATATATATGATATAAAGGCAAAAGGGGCTACAAAGGCATGGTATCATCCTAGTGGCATGGCATATCAAACACAACACAGCAACCCAGTCCACCAGTGTCTATGCATACACCTAGTTAACTGCTGCATACCAGAGCCACACTCAACAATACCCTGATGACACCAAGCCAGCACAGCCTCTTTACCTATGAAGGCCAGCAGGATGAAGTTCCACCTCCTCAGGTGGAGAGCCAGCCAGCGGCGGGACAGCTCCTGCTCAAACGTCTGCAGCTTGTTGTTTTCATTCTCGTCATGGTGCACCAGATAGCTGTTCAAGTCTTCATCCACAGCCTCGACACACTGTGGGATCCACAGAAGTATGAGAGCCAGATGGACAGGGCATGCTGGTATTGTGCAAACACAATCATCAAGGCTCAGTTTGGTACAATGTGTTAAGTAAAAAAATGGCTTTGAATAGGGACAAAAGACCAAGGTGAAGTGATGTTGACTGTGAGCACAATATTGACTGCTGGCTGCTGACTGCAAACAACTGCTGGCTGCTCACTGAGTACTGTAATTACCATGTTGGATGGATTTATATGTTATGACAATTAAATTTATTGCCACATACCAGAAAACCATTGACAAGGCCAGCAACCTTCTCCTTGGAGACAGATGGAGCCAAAGCTGCCATAGTTTCTGTGGCTGAGAGTCTCACATTCTAATGCAGCATCAGGTCTGTAAAAGGATTTTTGAGTGTCAGAGTGAGGAATATTTTCAACCTTTTCTGTAATATTCTGTTCCCATGACAGGATTTACTGTAGTTCAATCCTGTATCTTCCCACCAAAAACATGTGCACACGTGATAGATTCCCCTTGGTCCAACAGAAGATATGCAACAATGCTACATGTATTCACCTCGAAAACCTTATCTAAGTTTGTCAAGCATGCCAAACCTATATGTACGTGAGTTAATAACTTGCAGGCATGTAGCCAAAATATCATGTCCATCCCTCCATTCTCCTGTTTATTTTACGCAGAAACAAGCTATGAATACTGTCTCACTTAGCTGTATATGACTGCAAGATCACAGCATAACACTAAGACTCATTAATTATTGCTTTGGGGAACAGTCACCCCACGTAACCATTTGGATCACATCTAGGTAGCATTGCAATCACTGATACCCACTCTTTTATACATGCACACCCCAACAGACAGTCTTTTGCACATGGCATAACATTGTGACACACATAATGCACCACATA